AAAAAAAAAAAAAAAAGAGTTTTAATTGTATACACTTAAGAATTCAGATACAGTTGCAAGAACTCATTTCCGCTAGTGCCTTACAGCACTTCTGGCAACATTTGCCCTCCAATTATTTCAGTCACATTTCATTGAACTGCATCCATTGCTTTCGTAATCGTGAACATTTTTTATAGGATCAGGTTGGTAGCTCAATCCCCAGTCTTCTTCCTCTCTCATCTAGGCTTAGCACCGGCAAAGGTGGACTTGTTGCAAGAAACACTGTTTCAAATGAAACTTGAGAATTTTTTTTTTCTTTAGGGTGCAGGGATCCTTTTCCTTCCTCTAAAGGATCCCTGCACCCTTTCCGCTTTTCCCTCCTGCTGGCCTTCACGCTCATAGAAGCCACCGCTCGCCGAATTTCTTTGGGGTGCTGCACAAATCGGGGATGCTCAATGGACAGAAAAGTGGGTCCTTTTCACAACTTAAAAAGATGATGTTCTCTAGTGCTATTAATTGGGAAAAAGAAGGGTTCCCCCCCACCCCCAGGTAACAGATACAGCTGCAGCAGCAGCCCCCGTATCATTGCCTCTCTCATCGCTTTCGTAGCGCGGCAGCTTTCGCTTGGCAAGTTAAAATAGTTGCTATCAAACCTCTGCACAATCTCCCACAACCTGGTATTCATTATTTTAAAATGCTAGACATACTACAGTTCAGTAGACAGTGCTCTCTGGGCTTTAGGCAAGCAAGGCGAGAGGGGCTTGTGTAAATGTCAACTGCCTTCTTGTTATGACTGTAAAAAAATATTTAATTCAGCCTGGCAGCGTGGGTGGAGCGGGTGTGGTATTTTTACCTTCAAACGCAAAGGAGGGAAAAACGTAACAACTAGGGCTTTAAAATTCTCATGGTTGATCTTTTAGATTCCTTTGTCTTTAGGGCATTTGTTCATCAGGTAAGCAATCATGATTTCGACACTGTGCGTGACAGAAACAAGCTCCAGTGGAAACTGTTGCCAATAATGGGAGCAATTAAAAGAAATGAATCAATTTGCTGATCAGCTTTCTCCAGAGTCAGTTATGAGAAGGGGATATAGCTTATTTATTACTCACACATCTGGGTCTCACCATCAGCGTGTGACTAGTTCAGTATCCAGTTAAAGGCACTCTTGAGCATCGAGTGCCAGGAAATGCTTTTGTCTTTAGGGAGCTGCTGCTAGGTGGAGTAAGCAGTACTGGACAAGATGGGCCAAAAATCTGGGAAAGCTGCCTGTTAGATTCTACCTTTGCTAATTATCCAGCTGCCAGTTACAGCCCCAGGTCTGGAATTGAAGCTACTCTGCTGTATTGTTGTTACTGACTCTTGCTACTATTAAGTGAGAAGTAGGTATCAGACTTTATAATAGAAACAGAAACTCAAGCATCAAAAGAAGAGTTGTGGGGTAGCTTGTAAGGACAGATTGAAATATTTTGTTTACAGTGGAGTCTCCCTTCTTGATTGGTCTTAACCATATTTCTTTGGGGTAAAGGTGGTGGTGGTGATGATGATGATGATGATGATGATGATGATGATGATGATGGAGAAGAAGAAAGAAATCCACTTGTTTCTGTGTATGGCTTCTTCTCCAGAATGAAGCTTCCTTTGCTTGACTTCAATCTGCTTATGCTAACTTGTGAATGTCCTGTAGCTTAGTTCAGCCACACAGTTGACTTTTCAGAAAGCTCTTAAAATATGACTACTTAAAAGGGTGAATGTCTCTTGGTATATAGCAGGCACTGATTCCTGCTGGATAATTATGTCAGGAGGTGGGGTTTTGAGAGAAGTCACTCAGCCTCCTGGGCACAAATTCCCCCTTTCCCCAGCACCATAATCCATTTCCTCCATGGGGATGGAGAGCAATGCATGGGAAAAGACCAGCTGTGCTTCATCTGCATCTCCTGTTTGCACAGGAAAGGGCAAGAATGGTCAAATAAGCAGTTTTCACTCCTGTCCTTTCCCTTTTCAATGGTTCACATTCCTCTGGATGTATTGGAAGCTGCATCTAGTTCATACTGTTCCAAATCTGTTGTCAGAGATTTAGAATGGGTTGCTCAGTTCATTTTCTGTGAAAGGGTCCATGACAGAAGTTCTGCCCGTAATTCATACTATATCGCAGAGGGTTTACAGCATGACTTCTTAAAAAGATTGAAGGGATTTCTGTCTCAGGAATGCCTGTGCTGATGCTGGAGCTTCTAATGGCGTTGGAGGCCCTACAACAAGGTTGTGCCTTATTGAGTAGAAGCCAACACTGTAGATCAGATACACTTGCACTAATCTAGGCAATTTGCGTATGCCTCTTCTCAGAAGATCTGGCTCACATTTTGAGGGAACAATCTTTACATTGGGTTAGTTCTACTATATGAACAATGTTTTACAAGCCATGTCTCCTCAGGACACAAAGAAGTCAGCAAGCGGAAGAAGCAGAAGCTGAGGGAGGAACAGAAGAAGAAGAAGTCGGCCAAGGCACCATATTAAAATGGATTCTGATGTCCCCAGATGCTGTCCTTTTGTTGTTCTACCATTTGATCCCACCCAGGTTCCTGGTGCATATATTTCTTATGGCTATTCTCACTTAGCAAACGAGATAACAATTAAAATACATGAAAGTTGCACTATTATGCTTGAGCACCGCAGACTTGTTGAAGTTTCGGTATAAGACACCCCAGTTAGAAACTCCCACTAGAGAAGTCAGTGTTAAAGGTCAGGATGTCAAATACCATAAAAGAGCAGATTCTGACTAGAAATGTTGAAGACATAGTAATACAGTGGGGCCTTTTCATCTTTTCCTGTCCTGGGTTTAGCATGTTTATTCAAAGACTGGTAAGGTTGTAAACAATACTGTTATTTTTTAAAAATAGCCATCATGGACTTTTTTCTTTTTCTTTTTGATTTCTGAAATGACCCAAGTAGAACCTTAACATATTTAAATTTGTGTCTAATGAGAATGGGATTAAATTATAATATTACCTGGATTGTAACAGCTGCGTAACTTTCAGGGTTGGGGTTTTGGTTTTTATTTTACTTTCACCCCAATGGGAAAAGTGTTGACTTTCCTTCTGGACCTGGGCTATTATTTATGTATGTTGCATTACAAATAGCATCCTGTAATGATTTAAGAGAATAGGTTCACAATGAACTGCTTTGGGAAATAGATCCTGCTAAGCATATTATGATCCCTAGATCTCCATCAAGACAAATAATAGCTGACCTTGGAAACAGTACATGGCTCTAATTGGCAATAAGCAGTCGTTACAAATCGTGTGTATGTGTATGTGTGGTATGAAATAAAAGTCATAGCTACAGCTAGGCAGTCAACATTCATCTTCCTTCAACCAGATTGCTTGGATCTACAATATCATCTGTATATTAGATGTACCCAGTATATATATCCTGATCTTGGCTTGGATTGGGTGGGCGGGGCATGCATATACCTGATTGGAAATTTAAAGATGTAAATATGGCAAGATTACTTAATTCCCCAACTGTATACATGTGTAATTTGCATGGTCCATGGCTTCTTTTTAACCTCATAACAAAATACTAAGTCAGAACTTTCTTCCAAGCATGGTTACTATGAGCTGCCTTCCTGCTGTTTAATCTACAAATTAAAATAGTTGAATGTTTTGGTCCCCCTCCTTTTTTTCCTCCCTTTCACCAATATATTGTGTTGCCTATTCTCCTTGGCACTGTTGGAAACCCACATTTTCTAGAAAAATCTTTAATTACACCCAAATACTGTAGCTTAGGTCAGGAAGATGGTGATGTAAGTGGATTTACGGTACTTACTTGGATTCAATTTTAATGCTTTTATTATGAAAATGTAATCGTATGCAACTCATTAGGATATTTAAAAAAAGAACATGTCTGAGGCAAGATGGAGAACCATTCTTTTTGTTACAGAAATACCACTGAATTGTGTTGTGCAGTGTGACTAATATTTAAAGAAATAAAGTAAGTTCCCTTATTCCTAAGCTCCTATTTTTTTAATTTGAGAAAAGACTGAAATTATTTTTGGAAACAGAAAATAAACTCACTGGAACACAAAAACAAATGGAAGTTCTGACACACAGAGAACACTGATAAACGCAATGGTGAATGTGTTCTGATTTGCAGTAGAAGAATATTAATTGGGATTTTTACTGAGAAGATAACAAGAAACATGAAAAATGGTTGGGGGTTATAAAAATGAGTAGCTAACCTGGCCATTTGATTTGACTGAAGATAAGATTTCCGAATATTAGAATTCCAGATAATTGTTCCAGCTGCAGAGCAGAATGTCTTACAAAATTCCAAATACGAATTTGATATATTATTTACCTAATTTTATTTTTTTACAAGCTCAGGAGTGGTATCAAAAAAGTCAAGATGGTAGCTGTGAACATCCCATCAAAGCCACATCCCCTTTTTACATAATACACATAACAAGGAGCATGGCTTTGGCTGTGTGGCCACAGCTGCTACTACCTTGACATTTTTGAGACCCCCACCACCAATGGATGCCCCCGCTCCTGGAATTTCTTACCAAACCAAAAACCAGGTTTAGAGTCTAAAAAGATTTTGCAAGGAAAAGGGAGTGGGTACGGGGAAGGGGAAAAAAAGCAAGCAGCCATCAATCTTCTAACAGCAAGGTGGGACGCAGTTCAAGAGCCTGCCAATAATCAGTCACAACTCTGGGCAGCCCACCGGTTTAGGAGGTGCAGAATAGACGCTAAGCTATGCATTGTGTAGCCATGTTTTAATTATTCAACCATAATTGACTGGGTTCCACAACAGATTAAGCTAAAACCAGATAATGATTTAGTGCAGTCTGTGAATCCTGCCAGTTTGTCCTTTACCACCTCAATGTCACTTCTTTCTCCCCCAATACAGTATCTATCCGTGGAGGGGCTTGGTGTTCTGCTTGGTAGTAGGACCAGATCTAGCTGGGAATATTGGTCAGTTGTGGCCAGAGATGTTGTAGTGAAGTCCAGGTTGAGTGGAATTCTAAGAGGGCAACAACCTGTCAGACAGATATCAGACTGGGAAACATTTCAGTCAGTTGAACTGTTCATCAGGAATAAATGAAGATCAAAACAAATATCCCCTGCTTAATATATTAAACCCTAAATTAAACAAGGGCACCTAGCATTATAAATACAAACCATTCTGTAGGGCAATATATCAACATGCAAATGAGAGCAAATTACCTAATTTACAGACTGGATACATGATAAGACAATGCTAAGGCATAAACCATGATTGACAGATTGAAATGGTTGGGTTGTTACATCACACCAAGTCCAAACTTGAACTGTATTATGGGTTAATGCAACAGGTAAACACAACTGTGATGCACAGTTAAAGAAGGGGAGGGGGCAACCACCCGCCAAGTTTGCTATTGGACATGAGACTAGGGGAGAAGGGACTTGGTGAAGCCAGATGATTTTAGGAGATAATAGAGATTGGAAAGTCAAGTTTCTTTCCTTATTAATTCTATTAGCTTCATGTTGTCCAACACCGTAGACAAGAATCTCTTCCCTGGTATCATCTGTGTTCCAATCTTTACTTATTTTAGGCTACTGACTTCCCCTGGGCTCAGAAGCTACTTAGATGGGAGACTATTGGGAATGCTAGAGTTACAGGCTAGACCAGGACCTCAAAACATATCAAGGAAAAAGCAAACCATTTCTGCATAGTACTGTTGTCAAGGAAACTGCACGGACCTGTCTGTGAAGTCACCAAAAATTGAGCTCCATTTACAGGAGACTCTACCTTCAGTCTTCGTCACCTTATTGCACTCAAGTGTCTTGCATGCAACTCACAGATTTCCCTGCTGGCAGGCAACAGATTGATGAAGACTGGAATAAAGAACATTAATGCCCTCTGAGCTGCTAAGATCAGGGAGTCTGGAGATTCAGATGTTTCCCTTGATAATTTCCTATTAATAAAAGGGAAGCTCTTTTAAAAAATGAAATGAAATGCACAGAAAAGCAATACTTTGACCAACCTGTTTGGTTTTGTATGACTAACAATATCAACAGTACCTGTAAGAGCTGACCAACAGGTATTACTTTCTGTTACCCATTTCTGTTGTGCAATAGAGCATGAGCGTCAAGGAAATGCCTGAAATAAACTAAGGATATGAAATTCGGATGAAATTATGAAAATATGAGAGCCAATTGGGTCTGGTGGCTAGAAAGCTGGAGACTGTCAGTTCTAGCCCTGCCTTAGGCATGAAAGCCAGCTGGGTGATTTTGGGCCAGTCACTCTCTCTCAGCCTAACGCACCTCACAGGGTCATTGTTGTGGGGAAAATAGGAGGAGGAAGGAGTATTAGGTATGTTCGTCACCTTCAGCTATTTATAAAAATAAGGAAGGCGGGATTAAAAAATCTAAAAAAAAAATAATTCAGACCTCTCCCTTCAGCACACGGTCTGAATATATACCCTCATATATGTGTTTAATAAATGCTGGAAACCTTATCACTTCTGTTTCTCTTGCACCAAGGACTATTCACACATGATTGCTTTGACTCTCTTTCCCCAAAAAGTGTATGAAACTATTATTTCAGTGCCCAGCCCTATCCTTGTAAGGATCCCTTGAGTTTTTTCCAGATGGGTTTAATCATGAAATACATTGTAGAAGGGAGCTGACTGTTGGGGAGAGAGGTGAATCCAGGGAGGAGCACCATTTCAGATTAGATAGTTTGGAGCAGGAAATTCACTAGGATTAACCTGGCCCTCTCCAACCTTGGTAAGTGTTATGCCTCTTCTGCCCCAAGGGCCTGTTAGTCTTTGTCTTACTTTAAGCCCTGAAATCTGTCCAGCTCAGCATCAGTTGCCCTATCATGCTAATGGGTGTAACCACTCATTCACAGCTACTTAACTCTGAAAACTGATGATCAACCAAATTCTGTGTGCGGACTGATCTAAAGAACTTCTAGAGTGCTGTGGATGAGTCAGCCATCCTGAAGTCTTCCTCTTTCCTATCACACAATAAAACGTATCCTGGACCTTTAAGAAAATCTTGGAAGGATGTAAATTGAATGCTGTATGATAAGTGAGGTTCCAGATCTGTATTTCATGAGACAGAATAATGCCAACTAGGGAAGATGGAAGTTGCAGTCTTATCAGTCTGATGGGCATCAAGTTGGGGTTGACCTTGGACTTAAAGCTCTTTATTCAGCACCATGCAGCAAAAAAAGTAGGTTCTTTCTGAAACCTGATCTCAACTGTTTTTAAATATCTCAGAATGGCAGGAAACTATTGTGCAAATGGATTCTCAAAATGGTAATGCAGCTAGTAGTTCCGGTGTAAACCATGCTTTGATAGAGGCCAGCCCACCTGCGCGGAAGAGGCACGCTTTCTCCCTTTCCACCCAAAAAAACATAAAAAAGGAAACAAGAAACAAACTGCTATGAATTACTTCTACATAAGCTCCGTATGTGAACGCAAAAGGACTTACTGCATTTTTCTCCTGCTGTTGCTTTAACTTTTTTGCTAATACTCAGCACTGAAGGAGACATGTTTTTTGATTGTTAGGACCAAGAATGGATTCCAGTCCTAAATAATGCTTGTGAGTCTTAGTAACTATGCCACCAAATTTCAGCAACTACGGTCAGAGGGCCATTTTGGAGGCTCAGATTGCAAATTCCCGCCTTAAAGACTATGGCAATATTATCAATAATGCTGCTTTCTCTCCCCATTCCACCCCCCCCCCCAATTTTGCCAAATAGTGGAGGGGGGCACTGTGCCTTTGAGGGTCAGGGTGGGGAAGGATATCCTAAATCCAGTCCTGTAAAATTGACTGTCTATCTTGGCAGTGGGGAGTGGATTTATTTTTCTTCAACTGCCTTCCCCTCCCCTGTCCATCAAGCTGCCTGAAAAACTTAGTTTGAAATACAGATGAATTGATTTTCTTCTCCATGCATTATTTTTTCTAAGGGTGCCAGGGCTCACTTGGAGAAATGCAGTGTGTAAATCATCAGTACATAGACACTGCACTCCATGATTGCAGTGCTTAAAAAACTATAGTGTGTGTCTAGGAAGTGAGATCTCCTGGTCATTTCCCACATGTTATTTCCCTGGGAGATCCTATGCCGAGGACAGAATGGATCAGAAAGGATTCAAGGACAATCTTGCACGTCTCCCTAAATAAATGGGCAATAGATGTATTTTAGATATGCAAGTGTTGGCTGCCATCCTTTTTGCACTATCGGTTATATTTACCAGATTCCAGCCACTGTGTTAGGAAAATCTGTAAGGCATTTGTCACTGAATGATTTCTTGGGTAAATGAGCCCCCGTGTGGTGAGCAAACACAATCCAGACGGGCAATTTGGAAACACGGGGATCCAGATGAGGAAGAGTCAGTTGCACAAGATCAGACTCCACCCTGTTTCCGCATCTCATTTCACCAATATTTTGCAGTTAAATTTAAAATACTTGCAGCCTTTTTGCATCTCTTTTTCTCCCCAAACTTTACATTTGTAAAATGTACGTCCTTCTAGTACAGAACGTTGGTAAATAGCACATGTTCCTCCACCCCAAAGAAAACCAGAGAGATATCATCTTCCCCAAACTGTATGTTCTTACTCCAATGAATGCAAAGTCCAAATGTCAGTATCAACTTTTCAAAATAATGTCAGTATGAACTACAATTGTCTATTATAATGTCAGCTTAAGGACCAAAATATCAGCATCCTACTTATGGAAAGCTAACTGACTTGTCAGTTTAGTTTGTCATGCAAATATCACAAGTTAAAATATTAATGAGAATGATTCTAATATCCTTATATTTGCATAAGACATTTTATTACTATTCCTTTTATTATTATTATTTTTAATTGGTAGGCCAACCTTCCGGTCAGTTTTCCCCATATGCTTGCAACACTCCACATCTAAACATGTACACCATTTCTTCCTCTTCCTATCCCACCAAAACATGGGATTTTAAACATAAAGAGTGCATATTAAGTTACACCAATATT